TTTAAATGCGGTGGAATCAACCTCCATATGAATTTCACTAACATAGACTTTATAGTAATCAGAAGTATCTAATTTTCTCATTCCTTGAGACCATCTGTGTCTCAGGTACTGGCACTTCTTTCATATGCGGCTGTTGTTGCTCTGTAATTGCCAAGAGGCAAATTAATTGTATAGTTTTTCATTTCCAAGAGGCAATAGGTTTTATAGGGACCTTTATCATAAGATTGGTGTTTACTCATTCCTCCTTTATAGAGCTAACAACAGGTGTTGTATAGGTCATACAACATGCTCCCCCGGATTACTCCGTCTTCACTAGAAATGGCGCATCTTTAAACTTTATTATTTGGGTTTATTCTGTTAAAACTTTCTTCTTTATGGCACTTTAAGCACTATCTTAGTATTCCTTAGTCTGCTTTCGGAACTGTAAAAGATCCAGGAATACAACTATTTCTTTTCTTTAGGGGTATTATTATGATCGTCATACTCCCCCAGATGATCACATTCTTCATTAATGAATCACTTCAGATGCATAATGTGCATCACATTATCGAAAGTATAGATGAGTTTCGTCATTCTTAATTTATCTCATATTTCTTTCTCCCCCTCGAAATATGGCAAGAACTTTTCTGCCACAATTTCGAAAAACCATTCATAACTCTTGTGAATTGAGGAAACTTCGACTATCTACTTTATTTATCTGATTACTTCATACGAAATGAAGTTATCTGTTAACTTGTATGGGAGTATTTTTTTTTCTTATTCCATTTCAGAAACTCAACAGAGTTCTTTATCATTAATACTTTTGCAAGTCACACTTGCATATCATTCTTATCTTTAGGTTTGTCTGCAACTTTTATTCTCTTTGGATTTATTGAGTGCTTAATGACCGTTACACATAAGGTGTACGGTTGATACTAGGAAAGCATAATAGGTACTCCATACTTTTCTCCCAGAGTGGGACACATTAAAAGCACATGAGTCATCATATCTTTCTCTTGTCATACATGATAAGTCCTTTGCCAGAATTTCTCCCACCATCCGGGATTTTTGACATAATATTATGTCAACTTTACCCCGTTACGCAGGTATTTTCCCAGACTTTTTCCTCCATGTGGGTTTTATTATAATCATCTTTTCCCGCTATGCGGGTAATTCCCTGTAAGGGACAAATGCCAGAAATTGGCTCCTTTGACTGCATATTCAGTCATCAAATTCAAAAATAAATCCAAATGCTCTTTGACACACATGCTTGATCCGACGTTGGTCAAATTAAAGACGCATGTTGCTTGTTTCATCTCAAATTATGTTGACTGAAAAATCTTACTCATAGAGAGTACATGAAAGACATTCATCAACCAAGACTCACAATGATCTATCTCCGTTTTTTGAAGCCATTCTTTAGAGAGAACATACTCCCTCCCGTTATGACCTTTCTTGGTCATCTTTCGGGTCACAAGTACCCAACCATTCCCTTTCACGAATGAAAGTATGAAAAACTTTTAGTCTGAGAAAACTTAGCCAATAATCAACAATATTGAGCATAAAAAATAACCCTACGTTGGTCTGCTTAAAAAATATGCACATTAAACATTTAAAACTTTATTTTTATATTCTAAATCACCGTTGTGGCAGAATTAAAATAAAACATCATCCTTCTACCTTAATTCCATATCACCGTTGGGCGGAAATGGAAATAATGCATATAACTCATAAACAATGTGATGATAGTATTTCTATTCAACAACTTTGCTAAGAAATCATCATCATCAACAACTTTATTGCAGCGGGAACAAGAAATATATGTTTCTCTATTCAAGAGCATTTCTTAATCTTTATCTGTTCTCTGAAAATTGATCACTTTGATACAAAAATTATTAGAGATTTAAGCTTTGAACATAAGACTCATAGAATTATAGTACTGTTATCATCAACGTTGGTCAGAAAATAACAATACCATATTTTAACTTTAAAACGAATATGTTTCTTTTGTCATAGAGGAAACTATCTGAATCTGATTTCACCCACAGGGGAAAAAACATTGCTAAGAACATTTCTGCCAATTAAAATTTTCCGTTGGTTCCAATTTAATTGAAGGATAAAACTTTTACTTTGCAGCGGAAACTTTACAATATTCTATGCAGAAACTATTGTGTACTCTTTTGCTCTCTAAGCAATTTTAACCGGTTTGTTCAAAATTGCATTAGAGAAGCAACAATTTAATCTTTTACTTTAGTTCTATTCACTCTTTTTTAAAAGAGCACTTTTATTTTTATTCGCAGTGGAAAACATGAATAAAAATCATGAACTTTATTCTTTCAAAAATATTTTTTCTTTTCTTTTTCTGTACTTTTTCTTGGATGAAAATATATTAAAAAAATCAGACAAAATAACAAACAGCGGCTAGCCGGGCCATGGCCCAGTGCGCGCGGCCTCTAGCCTTGAGTCAGCCTCGTCCAGCTGCCTCAGCCGCCACTTTCGGCACAGCGGCCCAGCAGTAGTCTAGGGTTTTGATCTGAAGCGTTGATTATGATCGAACGGTGACCCGTGGCTGTCGCTAGAACAAAACCGCAGCGCCGCACGGCTCGGGGTGAACCCTAGACCATTTCGCCCCCTTCATTTGTTGCTCGCCCGCACGGCATTGTTGCTGGCCGCTGGGCCACCGTGTCGTGCCTATCGCCGGCGACAAAAACGGCGCGTCGTGCCAGCCTCCTCTTCTTCCCCTTAGTTTCGGGCGCATCGCTCGGCCTGGCCTCCACCGTGGCGGATCTGGCAGCGGCCCTGTCGCACCGCCAGCGGGCCGACTACAGCGTCGACCACCGCGCCGCGCGTGCCCGGCCGCCTCCTCTTTCTCCACCCCCCTTCCTGTTCTCCGTCCTATCCAGTCCACCACCACAGAGAGAGAGACATCGAAGCGCGATGGCCTTCTCTCCCCTTTGCGCCAGACGATGGCGGAGCATACTACAGCTGCGGTCGTTGGTCATTGCCATCCCCTTCGCCGGTGACACGTTCCCCTTGAGGTGAGCGCGCCGCCGTCGAACGGTGTGGCGAGCGACGCCCTTTTCCCCTCTCGGGGTAGTGTTCTTTTTCCTGGATCCTCGGCATGCCGATGCGATTCGGGATCGAGAGGAACGACGCGTCTGATGCGGCGGCGCTCTGTACTGCGAGATTTCTTTGCCCTTCTTTTCCCCTCTTTTTTGTTTTTGGGGTTAGGGTTCTTGGGCGGGAGGAGTAAACTTTCTTTTCTTTGTTCACTTACCAAAAATATCAACACAAGAAAGGCTCTAATACCATTGTTAAATCCATCGGGATCACATGTGTTGGATATCCACGGTAGTTGCAGGATCATATGGGGTATTACCTTCACCTTGGGTTGATGAACTCCCGCCGTTGCCATGGCGGGACAGTGACGGCGGTGTGGGCGCGCGCGCGCGCGCGTGTGTGTGGTGTGGCGGCTGCGGTGGCAGAGAAAGAGAGAGGTGGTGGCGGAGCTTCCCGTCAGCACTGCACTAACACTAAATCGGTAGGGGATGTAGGTGGGGTGTACTGCGTCGCGGCGAACCTCGTGGAGCGAGCCACGGCCCCCACCTATTTATATAGTGTAGGTGACAGGGGCCCGTCAATCATATTGGGTTGAGCGCCCCCGATCAGGGCGCGGATCTAAGGGCCCGGTGGGCCTTTGGGCCCACACGGCGAAGATCATCCTAACATAGGCAACTATCATTGTTGAGTTGTACTATGAAGCTCCTGACTAAGCTTCTGGCCAACATGTTGCAATCCATAATCTTTGACTTAGTACATGCCAACCAATATAGGTTTCTCAGAACTAGGACCATTCAAGACCGTGTTGTTCTCAAGTTGAACTTTGAGAAAGCTTTTGACAAAATAAAGCATGGTATGATTCTATTTTAAGGGATCCAAGAGATCTTTTCTTTTGGCACATCTATAGTTCTATTATATGGAGTGCCTTGGACCCCTTTTAAATGCAGGAGGCGTGTCAGACGGGACCGGGGGGTGGGGGGACTGTCTCCACTTTAATTTGTTCTGGCAGCAGACTTCTGCAACTTTCCCATTTTGCAGTATGCCAATGATACTCTTATCATCATGCAAGTTTGTCCTCGTCAGTTGGAACAACATAAGAGAATATTGACCTTTCCACAAGAGCTTCTGGTTTCAAAGTAAAATCTCAGAAATATAGCTTGATAGCTATCCATGTTCTTGATAATGAGGTGCATACTCTATCTTATATTCTTGGATGCCACATTGGAGAATTTCCATTTACTTTTTTTTGAGTGTCCCTATAAGCCTTACAAAACCAAGGATGAAATTCTTCATGTTTATAATCGACATAATACAGAAGAGATTGAATGTCTGCTCCCAATTCCTTAGCTATGATGACAAACTACTTATGATAAATTTAGTCCTCTCTTCCTTGCCCAACTTTCGATTCTACCAAAAAAGTCTCCTTATATTAATTAATAAGTACCACCTCACTAATTTACACGGGATCCCACCAATTTATGTATGTCCCCCTCTTCGGAAATAAACAAAATAAAGGATGAGGTATGACTATAATCTAGCAATGACAGACCCAGTAAAAAGGAACAAAAGTTGTCATATGGATGTTTCCTCTCCGGTTGATACACACTGGCCATGCGTTTGAATTCAGAGCGAAGCGAGGATGGTAGCGTGACGATGTGCTAGAGGTCGTGGCAGCGAAGCCAATGTAAACCGTAGTTTGCTTATAATACACTCCCTACATCTCATAATATAAAAGCGTTTTTTACACGAGCGTGCATTGCAACTCATAAGTCCTTTTGCTAGTTTATACTTAAGAAAAATTCTGCAGTGGGGCATGGTACAAAGTGTGTTCTATCTTCTATTGATGGTAAATGGGATTTTCTAAGCCTTGCGCAAAAGTACAAACATGTTAGAAAGAAATTCAGAGAAGGGGGAAAAGACGAGGGGAAAATCAACGTTCTGACAGCGACTTGATCGGACCGATGGGCACGCGTGGCACACCTTCTTTCCACACCTCCCGGCTGAAGCTGCTGCAGAATCCTCAAACCAATCAACCACCATCCATCACCGGAGAGCAGAGCAAGGAAATCTGTGGACGATCTGCCCGTCCACCAAATCCCTTCAGCGCGCCGCCTCCCTCGCCCGCAACTCGCGAGGACTCTGCGGATCTCACTCAGCGGCAGCAGAAAAAAGAGCGGAGAGAGCAGCCCGCCATGGCCATGGTCGCCTCCACCTCCATCGCCTACCACAAGGTTAGCAGCATAGGAGCATACGTAGCACGATCGTGTCGGGCAATCGGCCGAGAGCGGCAGCGTTGCTGTGATGAGCTAGCTGACATCTTGCGTGCTCCTTTCTGCGTGCCGCGTGCAGCCGCGTTTGTCGGTGGTGTGCAGGAAGAAGGACCGGGACAGGGAGCTGGAGCGGGAGAAGGAGCACAAGCACCCCTTCAAGGTCGTCGAGATCACGCCGCCGCCGCGATACCTCGGCGTCCGCTGCTTCCCCACGGTAAGCGCACACGATCGATGTGTTCCTGTGAGTTCCGGTGCGTCCATCTCCCTACTCTGTTTCTGAATCTCTGTCTCTGCCATGCCATGTAGCGTAGTAGTACTCTCAAACTGTATGCAATTTTTCAAATTTGGTCTCCTATTCAAATCTTGAAACAAAACGTTGAACTTCGAACTAGAACATCAGGCTTTGCCTATTGTTCAAGCGTAGTAGTACACTCAAACTGTATGTCAACTTTTTTCGCAAAAAAAAAAAACTGTATGTCAACTTGAGCTGTTTTCTAGATCTTTAATTCTTATTGATTTACTGCAATTTTTCAAATTTTGTCTCTTATTTAAAATTTGAACCAAAACGTTGGACTTCGAAGTAGAACATCAGGCTTTGCCTATTGTACTGTATTGTCCCCCTTATATAACTAGTCAATGTGTATGTGCAATGCACGTTAATTTAAAAGTATATTAAGTGCACGCGGATATATTAAATAGGATATTATTTGCATGTTATTACGATGATTAATACTATAGGGGGTGTTTGTTTCCAGGGATTTTTTTGTGTAGGGATTAGAAAAAGTCACTCTTAGAGACTTTTTTTACCAAATGGGAGTGACTTTTTAGGGACTAAACTAGGCATTTGGGACTAAATGAAGAAGACTCTAAAGGAGAGTCTTTTTGAGACTTTTCCAACAATGTCCCTCCATGCATCCATTGGCCCGCCACCCCATGGTGTTGTTTGATTGTTATTTTTTTATATACTAGGGGCAACATGATCATTTAATAACCTCTAGGAAGGGACTAGAGACTTTTTAGTCTCTGGAAACAAATATGGAGGGACTTTTTATGGACTATGGACTTTTTAGTTGGGACTAGAAAAAGTCCTAGGACTAGAGAACCAAACACCACCTATATTTGGCATGAAATTAACTGCACGCTAAACATGTTGAGCGCTCGACATTGAAGCAGGCTAGCTCGTTGGATTGACATGATTTGATGACTGAGATTAATTGGATCTGCTCATCTGGATCTTTTTATATTTGTATAGATAGATATAGATATAGATATAGATATAATCATATAGATGCAAAAGCAGAGCTCCTGGCTCCTGCTGCCTCCATTAAAAAAAGGTTCTCTCGACCCATATGTTTAATTTGGGCAGCAATTTTACCATATTCGTTGATCAACCCATAAATGATCGATTTGGCAGCAATTTTACCACATTAATCATTTATAGGTTGATCGAGCCAACTGAAATCAAACTCCTGTTGCCATATGTTTAATTTGGTTTACTGAAATTGTTCAATATTTTTACCTCTGAATGAGACAATCCGAAGTGAAGATGGCCTTCTTAAACCCTTCTTAACGAGTGAGAGCGACCGCACGGCGGAGCGCCAGTGCCTCAGCTTATTCCGGTGTGATGACCTCCTCAATACGCTCGTGGCAAGCCAGCAAGCATGCACGGTTTTCAGAGTTTAGTTAGGTAGAATGAACCAATAAAAATTTAGAGTTGTAATGGGAACCCTACGACACGTTTATCGGGTATAAAGTGGGCTTCTCTCTTGATCTGAGAGGTAGTTAGTCGTCCAAACTGTTTTTCCTGCAACAAACCGTGTAGCAGAGTTGATTGAGGTTGCTTCAGAAGCTTGGTTCCAGTCTCACTGGGTGTGCAGGGCAACAAAGAACACAAATCCTGAACTGGCAAATTTAGGATTGAAATCGCTACCTAAGCAGTAACAGGTTCAGATGTTTGGCAGCAGTTTCAATGTATACCAGCCAGGCAGTAGTAGCATTGCAGCAAATGCCAGATCGGATAGACTGATACAAAGCCTTTGGCTATAGTAAGAGTTACTAGAACTGTTCATGGCTGGTGATAGTTGGGAGTTGATCTAAAGTTAAAACTGTCATTTTTTTCCATTTTTGTATTGTTATAGAACACTAAATCTTCTCCTAACTTGTTCCTCACAATTCAGAACTGTACGCATGCAGCAACGCACTCTGTCAGTCTGTATTTCTTGCTGTTGTTGTTCTTTTTGACAGTGTGTTTTCTTGTTGCTGCTTTTGTGGTGGACTACGCACGCACGCAGAACATCCACTGCGGAGAGAGCGTGACGATCGAAGGGCAGGCGTACACGGTGTCGGCGGTGACGCACCGGTACCAGCTGCGCAAGGGGCGGTACGAGCCGAGCGAGAAGCGCCTCGACGTTCTCTCCACCGGCAGATACATCCTCAACCTCTACCTCGACAGCCTCCTCGACAAGTCCTAGACTCTATGCTCTACTCTATACTAAGTACAAATTTATTTATTCTACTACTCCAGCAAATTTATTTATGCATGTACTGTAACTGTACGTACGTACGCTACTTCTGTGATGAGGTCGAAATGATTTTTATACAGTAGCAAGTACATGCGCGCTGAGCCCTTGTGTGAAGGCCGCGCATGCATGCACGCATTTGGTCCGATACTCTTTGTGTGCATGGTGATCACCTTATGGGCAATATGGGGAGCAAGGAAAAAGGCCGTGTATAAGAATATTTTCCAAAGTCCTTTGTCAACACATGTCTTTATCAAGTCATATTTGAATGATCATGAAGTGTTGAAGAAGTTGATGGCAATGGCGGTGTAAGCCAGAACGACAAGGCTAACCATTGG